CGTGTTCTCATTTTGTTTTTACCGTGTTCTCACCATGTTCTCACTACTGTGTTCTCACTGTGTTCTCACTGTGTTCTCACCATGTTCTTAATACCGTGTACTTAATACCGTGTTCTTAATACCATGTTCTTACCGTGTTCTCAGCGTGTACTCAGCATGTTCTCAGCGTGTTCTTACCGTGTTCTTACTGCGTTTTTAATGTGTTCTCACTGTGTTCTCACTACCGTGATCGTACCGTGCTCTCATTACCGTGTTCTCATTACCGTGTTCTCACCGTGTTCTCCCCGTTTTCTTACTGTGTTCTCACCCGTGTTTTTACCGTGTTCTTACCGTGTTTTTAGCGTGTTCTTACCGTGTTTGGGGCTCCATAGCTTCAGTATCTAACGGCACAGCTTAAATCTCAGTTAGGAACTACAGCTGCAAGACTCCATTATCGATCTCATAATTTATCTTATTTAATATCTCTGCTCACTTTTACTTCTATATTTTGTTTTAATCTTTTTGCAATTTTTTTTAAATTTCATATTCCAATTATATAAAGTTAGTTTAACAGTGTATTTTTATATGTTGTACTGATTTTAGTCATTTAGCCTTTTCTCTTTTTTGCCTTCTGTGTGCTGCTTTTGTTCTGTTAAAGCTGCTGGAACTTGAATTTCTCTGAAGGACTCATCCCAAAGATAAATAAAGTCAAGTCTAAGTTTAATTCATCAGTCATCTCTGCCCCTGAGAATTCGTCCCAACGGAGACAGAGCGGCAGGTCAGCTTTTGGATTTCAGACGCTTCATGTTGGATTCAGGTGTGTTGCTGTGTTGGCTGCCTCTCTCTGCTCCCTCTGTCCTTCTCTCGCCCTCTCTCTCTCTCTTTCCCTCACCCCCAACCGGCCGAGGCAGATGGCCGCCCACCCTGAGCCATGGTTCTGCTCCAGGTTTCTGCCTGTTAAAATGAAGTTTTTCCTTGCCTGTGTCGCCTAGTGCTTGCTCATGGTGGGAATTGTTGGGTTTCTGTAATTAACTTCAGAGTAGGTCTGACCTGCTCTGTTTGGAAAGCTGTGAGAGATCTGTTGTTGTGATGTGGAGCTATAGAAAAACAATTTAAAATTGAATTGAATTGAAATTGAATGCATTCAAGTGTAACATAAAGAAAAGGGAAATTGAGTTTTTGGTGATAAACATCAGTAATACAGTTGTATATTGCTCTAATTATCTTAGAATATATAATTAAACTACTGATGCCAGCATTTGTTAAAAATTACAATGCAATGCAATTATTTATTAGCTAAATATTGTTGCATCGTCTCTCCAACAAATAACAGAAAAGTATCGATAGTGGTATTGATAAAGATTCGGATCGATAAGGAGTATCGATAAAGGTATCGTTATCAATAAATATTAACGATCCCCATACCTAGTTGTGATGTGGCGCTATTAGGGGTGGGACGGTTCACAAAATCCACGGTTCGGTTCGATTCACGGTTTCGTGGTCACGGTTTTGGGTTCGGTTCGGTATATGTTGATTGTTAGGAAAATCTATTATGTCTTGTATAGTCGGGTTAAAACTGAAAGAAAAAAGCAGTCTGACATTTGATCCATTATTGTGACAGTCTTAGGTTAAAAGTAGGTGAGATTCTGCCAGAGAGGAAACAGTGCTAATTCCAACATGTGCTTCCCTCTAAATGCAAACTGGTCCATACAGCAGACCTAGAAACTGCTGCTGGTCTGATTTTTATGGGCTACGCTGCTTCTTCTTCTTCTTCTTCTTGTTCACTACCGGTGGTTGGCTTTGGGCGCAGTAGCGCCCCCTTCTGCTCTGGAGTGTAAACACTTCCCTCTGAGAAAAAGGAGCAGCAGGAACCGAACGCAACACACGCCAACCCAACCGAGACAGAACCCAACGGTTCACACGGTTTTCACAAACCGTTCCATCCCTAGGCGCTATATCTTCCTGAGACCCAAAGAAAAAAAGTGTCTTCAAATTTATTTTTTGTCGTGATTTTCCATGTATTTGGACCTAAAAAAGAACATTACAATTTCAATTAAAAAAAATATATATTTAATTTTAATTTCATAGCATGTCCACTGTGGAGGACAACAGGACGATTTGCATGGGAAAATAGAACAGGCTTTAGATAATTAAATAATAAACAAGAAGTTATCTTGAAAGGGATATTTACCTAAAAACTCTTAGGAAAAAGTAAAGTTCCCAGCATGCAAACCTATCACATGGCACATCACTGGAAAGCCCAGGATGTGCTCTACAGAACACTATAGGGCTTATAGCGTAACTCCAGATACTTAGGGGGGGTGTCCACTATAATGGACATAAATGAATGGGCCGGGTCTCAGGAGGATTTAAATAAAATTGAATTGAATTGAAGGTGTTGAATGGGGGGGTGTTTCACCTCTACGACTCCGCCCTGTTTCAGGGAGATCTGGGCGCCTCCCCCCAGTTGGACGATGACCTGGTCCAGCCAGGTGGTGTCTCTGCGGCTCCGGTCCCTGAATACGCCCAGCAGCCGGAGGCCGTTTAGCGCCGATGAGGCTAGCAGGGAGTAGGCGCAGCGGTCAGGGACGAC